CCCACACTAAGAAGACATTATATCTTTTAGTAATAGTGATAGCCTATCATTAGGATAGAAGAAAACGCACTGCGTGACGATCCCGGAGTAACGATTACAACGAGATCGAGTAACCGTAAAAATACCGTCCATAGACGTTGGTTGAATATTGACGTCACGATTATCACCCACCAGGAGCCCGATCGTGACATTTGGCGAGCTCACCAGGGGGATCATCCAGAAGAGATCGATCCCGAAGAGTAACGAACCTAAAAGAAAAGAAATTAATGCCATCACAAGTAATTACCACTCGAAGTTATATTTACCGCCCAACCGGTCCAGGACGTTCCGAAATCGTCGAGATCACCCGAACTCAAGTCTATTCACCTACAGAAAGAAGAACGGTTACAGTTATTACCGAGAGGCTTCCACCCATAACCGAGATAATTAATTTACTTAATAATAATTCCCCGCGTCCCCGACCCGTAGGACCCGTCCGAGTATACCATCCTAGAAACAATTATAATTAATTAAAAATAAATTAAATAAAAATTATTATTAAATTCATTAAAAATAAATTAAACAAAGAAAAAACGTACCTTAAAAAGAAACCGTTTCCAACAAACTCAGACACGACAAACATCAAGAAAAACAAACAAATGAAAACTACCAAGAAACCATTGATAAACGAATATTCGAAGTTATCTATCAACTGAACGAAAAGAGATTAGAAGCTAAAATTAACATCGAACAAGCCCAAGAAAAACAAAAAAAACGTCATAATTTGAACTTACCAAATAAAGAATATAACACCGGAGACAAAGTACTTGTATATCGAAGTAAAAGCGACAAACAATGGTCCGGAAAATTAGACCCCAAATGGGACGGACCATACTGGATTCACGAAAAACTCAACAACGGAGCCTACAAACTCGCCGATCAAAACGGAATCCACGCCAAATTCGTACACGGAAATTGACTTAAACATTATTACCAACGAAAAGAAGAAAATGAAGAATTCGAGGACGAATCCTCAAATAAAGAAGGGAAAGGAACCACAAAAACGACCCCATTCATAATAATACCAACATCAACAAAGAATTTAAACGAATATAAAAAAAAATAATAATAATAATAATAATAAAGTTTAATAAAAACGAACCAATCGGAAAATAAAAATCATATGATTTTCTGATCTAACGTAAATAAAAACTTAAAAATAAATTTAATTAAAAACGAACAATAAAAACGACTACCATACAACGAAAAACAACAAAATGTCAACAACCAACGAAACAAACGACACCATCCCAAGAATTTGGCAACTAGCCACCGAAATGACCACAGAACTCTTGGAAAACTACCCAACACTACGAATAGAAGTCGACCTTACGGGACCAAAATTCGTAGAAATTCCATTACCAATGGAAGGAAATGAAACAACGGACCCATCGCAAAACATACCAACGACTCATGAAGAAACTTCAAAACTACGTTACGAAAAGATCGACGAATTAAATAAGATCTTTAAAAGGGCCAAACGACAACGAAAATCAACTAAACAAAGGCCAAAACAAACTTTACAAAAATTACAGGATGAATGGAATAAAGTAGTTAAATCGAGA